CCTCTGCAACCGGAATCACTCAATTCGGAGAAGTATTTTAGAGGTTACATTCTCCAGAATGCGAAGAGGTCCAAGCTGCTCTGAATGCTGCGAGAAAGCCTTGCGACTTGGTTAACTCGCAGGCCTGAAGACGAATGCCTGGAAATTGATGCTGCGAGTTGAGAAGTGCAGGTAAGCTATCAATGGATGAGGTCTGAGGCTCCCGAGCAAGAAAATTGCTAAGTTCACAATACTGCGACTTGGGCATGCTACCTGGGAGACGCTGGAACCAAGCCGCATGATCACTCGCAATCTACTCCGACTTGGGCGTGCTGGCTGGGAGCAAGGAGACCAACCCGCACGGTTTGTACATTCCCCAGAAACCGCCTTGGTCCTGCGAGTTGAAGAAGAAGAAGATTAAGCCGCAGCAAGACTCGCAAAACACTCCTACTTGGGCGTGCGGCTAAGACAAAGCGATTTAAGTCTCACAAGACAAGTTCTTCATCTACTGCGACTTGGGCATGCTACCTGGGAGACACTGGACCAACCCGCATGATTTCCACTTTACCCACTAAAGCCAGGTCAGGACCCGGTTTGTTCCGGGCCGACCCGGTTCATTAGCACTTAGTATATATAGCTTTTTGGAGAAAAACCATAGGGATGTTATCTTCTCTCTTAGTTTCTCTCTAGTTTTCTTTCCTTTTTAGTGTAAAAACGTTTTTGATTAAGAGATATCTCAAGGATTTAATCAATCTAAGTCTGTTTCTTATCATCTCATCATCTCATTTCTGCTTCTAATCATGATTAACATCATCTCTTCCAAAGGATTAGATGTGTTCTTCATGATTAGTGAGTAGTCATCTTTTTAAACTTCTAGGTGTGTAGATTAGGGTGCCTAGATGTTTGATTTGTGATGTTTAGGGTTTAGATTCTCATTTCATTTCCTTAGTTAGCTGCTCCTAATGCCAGATTTCCTTGGGAAAGTGAAATCTGGGTTCATAGGCATTTCATGCACCAAAAGTGTTTGATGAAATGCCTGAAAGAGCTAACTTAAGGGTTTATGTTTTAAATGCCATGAGAATGTTTGTTTGAAGCATAAATGACATATTAGAACTGTTTCTTAGTGCTCATTAGTTCATATTTCACAAATGGGAATTTGGTTTGAAAGTGGATTAGTGTAGAGATTAATGCCTTCATGAGAGGATTAGTCTAGATTAGAGTTCTAAGTTGAAATGTTTGAGATCATGTGAGTGCTTGTTATGTCTTTCTGCATAAGATTCAGTCTTCTTGGTTGAGAGATTGTTTGGTCACTCATTAGGCTTGATGCATTATGCTTGTTGATTGCTTGATTATATCTAATGGTTGTTAGACTTAATTTAAGTGATTAGCAAAGGGATTATTGTCATGGGAATGAATTAATCTGATTAAGAAGCCTAGACTAAAGAGTAGCAAGTGTTGCATTATGTTCTTAGCATCATGAATCAATATCTAAAGCACCCTAATCAATGATCACATCTAGAGGTTTATCTTTCATCATTTGTTTTATCATCATTTTGTTTGCTTGCTTGTTTAGTAGTTCTTTAATCATTTCTTGTTTGTTTCTTGTTTATGCTTTCTTGTTGCTGGTTTCACCAAACTCATCTTTTATTCAGCTTGACTTAAGAACTTGTCTTATAAACTAGTGCCTAACTACCACACATATGGATTGACACCCCTTATACTACTTTGACAAGGGGATTGATAACCCATCTAAGACTTAAAAACCTTAGTCATCAATATATGATTTTTGTATACCTTTAAATTTTTATCAGAATGACTAGCTTTAATAAAAAAGAAGCTAACCTAACAAAAACATTTTTAATATAAGAAATAACCAATCAGATATGAGGGATTGAAAATTAGAGATTGATTTTATATGACGTTGTTATGACGAATCAAACAACTCGTCGTGTAATCGTCGTATATTACCGACGATTCGTCGTTACTTCGTCTTCTAATTCTTAACATTATACTAAACCCCAAATCATCATATGATATACTGACTAAGAGTTTAGGGTTTTTTTATTTCTTTGTAAATATGTCGTAAATGTTTTCATTATATTAAAAAAAAATTCAAACTTATACATTGCTTATTATACAAAAATATATTTATTAATATTAACCATGAAAACATTCAGATTCATCTGATGACATATACTGATCATCGTCTTCAGCGTCTTCCAAATCTTCATCATCACTTTCATCAAATACATCTGAATAACATTCTTCTTCTGTATTATCGGGGAGATCTTCAACTTGCCTGTTCTGAGGATCAATTAAGAAAACGTCCTCATCAATCTCTGGTTCAGTAATGTCTACGTAAGATTCTTGTTGAAGTGGAAGATCCTCAACACCTACAATCGTGCCCATTGGAGCCACCTTGATAACCGTTAACCAGGAGATCCTTGTCGTTTGAACTCGGGGATTTGGTACAAATGTGACTTGTTATGCTTGAGAAACTAATATAAATGGCTCAAACTTGTTGTACTGTCGTGATTGGTTCACATCTACCACTCCAAATTTGTTAAATCGACCCATCTTCCAATTGTTGGATCAAACTAGTCACATTTGAAGAGAACATTTTTCAATTTTAACAAACCATGATACTTTACTTCAATTATTTCTTGCAACACTACGTAATAATATATTTCATCCTTTACGCAAACTTCATAGTTCGTTGTTGCCTGTTTTGTCCCGTGCTTGTATGTATGGAAAAAATTACCTCAAGTAAACTACATGGATGCAGTCGTTATTTGTGACATATGGCCTAGAAGTAACTCATGAACTATATTAGATATAGATCTGGATCATTAGGGTCCACCTAATGAGAAAGAAATTAATGTTTTGAATTAATTTACTGCATGTTCATTAATTATGAAGAGCAATGTATACAACTTACTTGCATTTTCAACCACAGAGCAAAGTGTTGGTCTTTATGATTGATAACACCGTATTTGTTGTTGGGGTCGGTTTCACCCCAAGCGGATAAAACCATCTCAAAATGACTAAGTATGGAAGAAAACCAATTTGGCCGAGCTGCCCACCAAATATGGGCCGAGCTGTCCCACAAAACAAGTGGGCCGAGCCGCGTTCACCAAGACGAGTGGACCAAGCCGCGCACGAGAGGAATGGGCCGAGCTGTGAACGGGCCGAGCCGTAAGGAGAAGTAAATGGGCCGAGCTGTGCAAGATAGCGAAGGGACCAAGCTGTGCGAGAAAGCAAATGGGCCGAGCCGCATAAGAGGGGGAACGAGCCGAGCCGATTTTGGGCCGAACCAAGGCTTTGAAAGACGAAAGCCCATAAGAAAGCCCTAAGCGAAGTATTATGACGGTGGCCGCACGAAGCAATAAGGAAATGCTCCGAAAATCTCTCCCGAGATTCTCGGCTAGGCGGTTCAAGAAGTTAGTATAAATACGATATCTCTACGATTCATTATGTAACTTTGGCAACCCTAAGCAATAAAGACTAAAAACTTTCACAACAATAAAAACCTTTTTTCGATCTTACCGTTCTTGCGATAAACCCTAGAAGTTTCCGATCCCTTAAGTTTTCCTTAACGAATTTTTGGTTGTGCGAGTTTTACGTACACACAATTTGGCGCCGTCTGTGGGGACTCAAGACTTTCTTACTCTAAATCGACAAGACTTTAAGATCCGAAGAACATGGCGAGCAACACCCTCGACGATAACAACAACAACAGCAACAATGGTAACGGCGCGGAGAAGGACGCTCCAGCATCAGGCACAACGACGGCAACGACCAAAACCCAAGAGGAGATGCGAAACATGATGGCTGCGTTGATGAAGAAAATTGACGAGCAGGACAAAAGAAACGAGGCGATTACGGAGAGGCTCGACGCGATGGCAGCTGAGCGACAACACCCAACCTGGAGAGCCGGAATTCCCGACCCGATGGATGGAATCCAGAGACGCTTCGACTTCTCAACGCCTGCAGAGGCCTCGGGGAGCGGCGCAAGAAACCCCTTGGCTCCACCAATGTTTCGTCCCCTCGGGGAACAGACTCCCACGAAAACCCGAGTCAACATGACCGAGCCGCCTCCACTCCGTCGGAACTCAAGCCGACGAGCCGGCGAGGAGGAGAATGACGTGATTGACGTGGACGCCCAGCAGAACGATGGAACCACGAATTCGCAACAAAACGGCTCGGCTCGGCGAATAAGCCAAGAAGAGCTCGCCTCGGCAATAAACGGCGTCCTGACTGACGAAGTCTCCGATCCCGCTCGCGGCGACAACCCGTCTGAAGAGGAAGAAAACCTCCAATGGATCGAGCAGGCGGAGCGCAAAGATGAGCTGAGGAGAGAAGAGCTGGAGCGACCCTTCCAATCAAGGGGAATAACTCACGCGCAAACTCTCGAAATCAAAGAGCTGCGAGCCTCAATGGCTCGGACAGTAACTGAGGTACGCGCCATGAAATCTCAAGTGCACAACGCGACGAGTGCTTCGCCCGAGATCGATCGGATGCTTGAAGAAACTCAGAGAACACCATTCACGGCAAGAATCACGGAGGCTAGGATTCCCGAGCCCAGGAAGGTGAGAATCCCGTTCTACGAAAGAACAACCAATTCGAAAGCACACATCACAGCGTTTCGGATAGCAATGGGACGAGCCTTCACAAAGAACGCTGCCAAACTTACCGAGCGAGAAGTAGATGCCGGATACTGTTTGCTCTTCATGGAGCACCTTAAGGGAGCCGCACTCGAGTGGTTCTCGAGGCAGGAGCGCAACTCAATCGCCAGTTTTCAACAGCTCTCTGCCTTGTTCCTTAAACAATACTCGATGTTTATGGATAGAAGAACTTCTGATGCCGACCTGTGGACGCTATCCCAAGGACCGAATGAACCACTTCGAGATTACATGGCAAGATTCAAGGCAGTCGTATCCATAATAGAAGGGATAAGCGACAAGGCCGCACTCAAAGCTCTGAAACGATCTTTGTGGTACAAATCCGAATTCTGACGGGAGATGGCACTCAACACGCCACAAACGTTTCAAGATGCTTTGCATCGGTCGTCATACTTTTTCGTAAACGAGGAGGAGATGAAGAATCTGGATGAGCAGTACGAAGCGACGAAAGCAGCAATCCGAAGCTCAATTTTGACGCGCCCCTCGAAGAAAGGCAACCCATCAAACAACGCAACAACGCAGAGCTCGGACAAACCTAGAAGCGGCAGTGCCCATAACTACCAAGTAGGCACTGGACGCGGAAGAGGAGAGCCGTGCAACAACACTTGGGTAAGAAAGCCCACCAACTACGACGAAAAGGCTTTCTGCGAGTATCACCAGACCTACGGGCAGTCTACGGCACAATGCCGAACTTTAGGAGCGAAACTCGCGGCTAAGATGGCGGCGGGAGAACTCCAGAACGCGGTTAACCTCAAAGACCTCGTCCCTAATGAACCAAAAGAAGGAGCCGAGCCGAGCGGCGCGGCAGAACCTGCAAATCCTCCCCGACAAGGCGATAACTCCAAGCGCGACAGGAGAGGCAAACCCAAAGAGCGACCCGAGTCGAGGCAAAGGATCAACATGATCATGGGTGGATCTCAATATTACCAAGACACGGTGTCCTCCATCAAAGCTTATCAGCATCGAGCCGAAGCAAAGGAAAATTGGACGGAACCGACCGACCTCCCGAATACAGTGATCTCCTTCGCCGAGGAGGAAACAGCAGAAATTGATAGACCACACAACGATCCGCTGGTGTTGGAATTAACGATCAGGGATCACGATGTAGTGAGGGTGCTCATCGATACTGGGAGCTCGGTGAACGTCATTTTCAGGGAGACACTCAAAAGGATGGGAATCGATCTCTCCGAGGTGATAGCGATCCCCAAACCTCTAACCGGATTTTCAGGAGAAACAACGATGACTATGGGAACAATTACACTAAGATCGTCGAATTCTGCGTCACCGATCACCCAGCAATCTACAACGTGATTATGGGGACTCCATGGATCAACAGGATTAGGGCGGTCCCTTCCACCTATCATCTCTGCCTCAAATTCCCGACTCCAGCAGGCATCAAAACGATCTGGGGAAGTCAGAAGGAATCGCGAATGTGCTGCTTAGCGGAGCACAAGCTGAGGAATCCCGTCACCGATGCACGAGCAGACATAGATTGCAAAAAGATGAAGACGGACCGAGAGCCTACGAACGAGCTCTCAAAACTCTTATAGCAATTACAGATCGCGGAGAGCCGCGAAACGCACGCCGAGCCGATATGTGACGCAGTGGACTCGGTGTGCATAGACGAAGCGCGTACAGAGCGATGCGTCGAAATCAGAGCAAAACTAGAAGAACCTCTGAAAGGAGAACTTCTTTCTCTCCTCAAAGAGAACATCAACACTTTTTCCTGGACAGCGGAAGACATGCCGGGCATAAGCATCGACGTGACCTGTCACGAGCTGAACGTGGACCCAACCTTCAAACCAATCAAGCAAAAAAGAAGGAAGCTCGGACCCGAACGAGCTAAAGCAGTTAACGACGAAGTGGAGAGATTGCTCAAAGTAGGATCAATCACCGAGGCCAAGTATCCAGACTGGCTTGCGAATCCAGTGGTTGTGAAGAAAAAGAACGGCAAGTGGCGGGTCTGTGTAGATTTCACTGACCTCAACAAGGCGTGCCCAAAAGACAGTTTCCCTCTGCCGCACATCGACCAGCTCGTCGAAGCCACTGCGGGAAATAGGCTGTTAACATTCATGGACGCGTTCTCAGGCTACAATCAGATCTTGATGCATCCTGACGATCGGGAAAAAACAGCATTCATAACTGATCGCGGGATATACTGCTACAAAGTCATGCCGTTCGGGCTCAAGAACGCAGGAGCATTATATCAACGGCTCGTCAATAAAATGTTCGCGGTTCAGCTCGGAAAAACCATGGAGGTATAAATCGATGATATGTTAGTCAAATCACTCGAAGAGAAGGACCATGTCGCGCATCTACGAGAATGCTTCGAGCAGTTGAACAAACACAACATGAAGCTAAACCTGGCGAAGTGTAGGTTCGCGGTCACCTCGGGAGAGTTTCTCGGCTATCTGGTAACTCACCGAGGCATTGAAGCGAATCCCAAACAGATCAAGGCATTAATCGGGATGCCCTCTCCAAGGACGAAGCGAGAAGTGCAAAGGCTCACAAGAAGGGTCGCTGCGCTAAACAAGTTTATTTCCCGTTCTACCGACAAGTGCCTACCTTTCTACGACACCCTTCAGGGAAACAAGAAATTCGAGTGGGACGAGCGATGCGAAGCAGCTTTCCAAGAATTGAAGAATTATCTGGCGAGCCCACCGATCTTGGCAAAACTAGTTGAAGGAGAGCCTCTCTTCCTCTACATCGCCATATCGGCTACAGCTGTGAGTGGTGTGCTTATCAGAGAAGAACGGTCCGAGCAAAAACCCATTCTTTACGTCAGCCAGACACTGACCGATGCCGAGACCCGCTACCCCCAGATCGAGAAAGTCGCCCTAGCCGTTGTAGTTTTGGCTTGCAAACTGCGTCCATATTTTCAATCACATTCGATTGTTGTGCTCGCTACACTTTTGCTGCGCTCTATCCTACACAGCCCGAGCCAATCCGGTCGGCTCGCCAAGTGGGCCATAGAGCTGAGCGAGTACGACATCGAGTATCGGAACAGGTCGTCTGCAAAGTCACAGGTACTCGCAGATTTTCTCATCGAACTCCCAGCCGAAGCAACGAACGAGCCGATCCCAGACGAAGTATGGATGCTGCACGTCGACGGCTCGTCATCTAAACACGGTTCAGGTATAGGAATCCGCCTCACCTCTCCCACAGGAGAGATATTGGAGCAGTCTTTTCGTCTAAACTTCCACGCCTCGAACAACGAAGCAGAATACGAAGCACTGATCGCCGACATACGACTAGCACGGGGAATCGGAGTTCGAAAGATACAAACCTTTTGCGATTCACAGCTCGTAGCATGTCAATTCAACGGAGAATACGAGGCGAAGGATGGATGAATGGGAGCTTATCTCAAGGTGGTACGAGAGCTGGTGCGGGAGTTCGACGAGTTCGAGCTCACACGAATGCCCCGAGGAGAAAACACCTCAGCTGGCGCCTTGGCAGCACTTGCTTCGACCTCAGACCCGGATCTCCGACGGACGATTCCAGTTGAATTCATCGAACGTCCTAGCATTGAAGAGGTAGAAGGAGTTCGGCTGATAAATCCTCCCGAACAGGAACCAGAAAACGACGAAGCCATCGCTATGGACGAAGACGCCTCACCAGCGGAGCTGGAGTACGGCTGCGACAAAGAATGGCTCGGAGCCATCCGAGTATATATCACCGATGGAGAAGTGCCAACCGACAAGTGGGAAGCCCGCAAATTAAAAGCTCAGGCCGCGTGGTATGTCCTCGTCGACGGCGAGGTGTTTAAATGGAGATTCTCAGGACCTCTCATGACATGCGTCGAAGGACCAGAGGCAAGAAAGATCATGCACGAAGTGCACAGCAGTGCACAGCAGTGCGTGCAGAAACCATTCTAGCGGAAGGTCGCTCGCGATCAAGATAAAACGGCACGGTTACTTCTGACCTACGATGGTCAAGGACTGCGAGAAATTTACGGCGAAGTGCGAGAAGTGTCAACGGCACGCTCCAACAATTCATCAACCTACCGAGCTGCTGTAATCAATTTCGTCACCTTATCCTTTTATGAGATGGTCGATGGACATAGTCGGACCACTACATCGATCGAAGCAGAAGCGCTTTCTGCTTGTCCTCACGGATTATTTTTCCAAGTGGGTCGAGGCCGATTCCTACGCAAGCATAAAGGATGTCCAAGTCGAGCACTTCGTCTTGAAAAATATCATCTGCAGACACGGGGTCCCCTACGAGATAGTCACCGATAACGGATCCCAGTTCATCTCGACGCGTTTTGAAGCTTTCTGCGAGAAATGGAAAATCCGTCTGAGCAAATCTACGCCAAGGTACCCTCAAGGGAACGGACAAGCCGAAGCATCCAACAAGACAATCCTAGACGGCCTAAAGAAGAGGCTCGACGCAAAGAAAGGACGATGGGCAGACGAACTCGAAGGAGTCCTTTGGTCGCATCGAAAAACTCCACGCCGACCGGGGAAACTCCATTCGCTCTAGTCTATGGAGCAGAATGCGTAATTCCCCCCGAGGTGGATTTCCCAGGTATTTGACGGAGACTCCTCCCAGGACAGGAGGGCTTGAACCACTTGATGATGCTGGACGAGCTCGATCTAGTCAACGAAAGGCGCGACCAGGCTTTAATCCAAATCCAGAACTATCAACAAGCAACGGCGAGATACTACAACAAAAATGTTTGTAGTCGAAGATTCAAAGAAGGAGAGCTCGTCCTTCGAAAGGTTTTCCAAAACACTGCCGAGAAGAATGCAGGAAAGCTCAGAGCAAACTGGCAAGGTCCTTACAAGATTACAAAAGTAGTTCACCCAGGAGTCTACGAATTCGCGATGGTAGCTGACGAAGCGATTCCAAGATCATGGAATGCCATGCACCTGAAGAAGTATTATCACTAAGACTACAACACGGTCAACATGAACTACGGGACGGCTTGATCCCTGCAAAGGGTACGTAGGCAGTCCGTCCTTGGACGGGTTCAGTTGCCCCCCCCTCCAAAAGGGGGGGGAGTGGGTACGTATACACATACCTTCATTTAACTCTACAATTTTAGCTCGTCTACCGTCTCTAGGAACATTGCCACTTCGGCCTATTTTCAGTTCATTTTAAATCATCTACTTATTTCATGTTCACCTTGGAATTCTAGTTCGTTCATTGTCGCTTCGGCTAGTTTCTCATTTTTTTTAAATTAGCAACTTATTTCATGTTCGCCTCGGATTTTTAATTCGTTCACTCATCACTTCGGCAAAATATCATATCACTTCGACAAGTTACCATGACTTGATCGCCTCGGACCCTTCCTTGTCCTCAGTTTCAGTCCGGCAAACTAAGTCTTTAAACGCCTCGTCTCGTTGCTGGCCACAACGGGACAACAAATACAAAGTTCTCTAAACGGACTTTTACCACCTTTCCTAGGACGAGGGTGCAAGTTACATCCTCTACGGATAAAAATCAAGTGCGCTATACAAATTTCAGACCAAAAACGTATCGGTCGCCACAGTTTACTATCACACACGAGATTATAAGTCGAGACTACATCGCTTTCTCTAAAACCGAAGTGAACTCTAAAAACCCGGCAAAACGTACTCACCTTCCCGGGAATGCCGGTCTATAGTCATATCCCAAAGAGAATAACTCACTTGAAAAATACTTCGGCATTAGTCGGAAATTCTTTCTCAAAACAATCTAAAACAGCTCACCTCAATGAGGACCTCTCTCAGTGATAGAATGGACAAATCCCAGTAAGAGTCCCGAAATCACCTTTGGTTAATAAAAAACGAAACGCCTCGTCGTTTACGCGGCTCGACATCATATAACGAAAACGTCTCGTCGTTAAACACGGCTCGGCGTTTCCAAAGAAAGTTGCCTCGACATTATCACTTAATACGCCTCAGCGTCACCTAAAATGGAGACGCTCCACAAATCAACTCCCAGCTCGGGATCTAGACTTAAACAGAATCCTTAGCCCGGTCTTATATCGATCTATCGAAAAGAGTTCGGCCAGGAAAACAGTCGAGATCATTCTCGACACAGCTCGATAAGCCAATCAACGACAACTCTTTCCAAACAAACAGTTTTCGTAAAAATTTTCATAGGTCGTCAAGGATAAACATATCAAATCCAAAAATGGCTAAGGAAAAGAGAATATAACCAAAAGTAAAATCAACAGTCAAGTGGATAAAGCCATCCAGGCATCGGTTACACAAGAAGTTCAAGAAACGGATAAAATCATCCAAATTTTAAGTACAAAAACATATGAGACGAAAGATAGGGGAAAGCGGAGAGGATCAAGCCGCAGACTGCGTTTCACGCTCGGCAAGGAGGTTCGAGAGGGCCGGCGTACCCGCATTTGATCCGGTCGGATCTACAAAGCCCAAGTTGGCCGCTGACTCTTCGAGAGGCTCGTTACCAAGGCTGGTGTCTACCGAGTCCGTCGATACGGGCGAGAGGACCAGCTCACCTCGAATCTCAGAGGCAATGCGCTCATACGCCTCGTCGTCGGCGTACTCGCTCTCCCAGCTCTTTAGCTTCGCCTCCTCATCATCGAGCGTTGGGGCGTCCGGTTTCTTCAGGTCGGCAATCATCACAAGGTTGCCCTTGATTTGACCCAGCTCGTTCTCGTCGGATTTGGCCTTCTCAAGCTTGGCCAAACCTTCCTCTACCTTGGCGAGGCGCTCCTGAAACATAGTCGTCAGCTCTCGCCTCGCTTCCTTTTTCGCACGCTTGAACTTGGCCTCGATATGCCTTTTGAACAACGCCACCTCGGTGCTTTTGGCTCTCCTAGCCTCCTCGAGGCGAATGACCGAGGCAGAGACCTTGTCAACATCAGCGCGGAGAACTATCTTCTCCTCTTCCAGCCTCGACACCCTAGTCATCGCCTCGTTCAGCTTCCCCTTCGCCGCCGTGGTCTCGTTTCGAGCCTCGTCCAAGCAACGTTCAACCTTAGACAGGTCTGCCTCGTATTCAGCCATCAGCTCGTTGATGGCCGCTACAAACTGCAAGGAATAATGCGCGTTAAACACTTGGTGAGAATTCGATAAAATAAGGAGAGCAAACAGAATATACCTTGGTACCGCGCTGTGCCATCGCGCCGTACGACCTCGGTCTCCTCAGCTTCTCAGGAGGAGGAAGACGCGTGTTCGCATTATTAACACATGCGAACATTATTGCCGAGGCGTCAGGGTCGTCGACAACCAGTTTGCGTGCAGCGGGATCACCGGGAGCCTGCTTGCGCTTCTTCTTGGACGGCTCGTCCTTTTGGACAGCAACGCCCTTCCCCTTATCAGTAGCCGAACGTTTTCGGCTAGAATCATGCTTCTGTACAACCGAAGTCGGGGGCCTCGATGACTTCGGAAGAGCCAGAATAGCTGAGTTTGGAGGAGTTTTACTCCGCGCCGCAGAGTCATCTTTGGGCGCCTCAGGAATAATCTTGCCTGGTTCCACCTCAGGCACTGTTTCATTCTCGGTCGCCTCGGCAACGTTTGCCTCCGCGGCTCGGATCGTGCCTTCACCTTCACGGCTCGGCGGATCGTTCTGAGGGACAGCCTCGGCCTCTGTTCGAGCCGCCTCGGCGGCTCGTCTCGCAGCTTCCTCTTCTTCACGCCTTTTCTTGTCTCTAAGGTTAATGATCACCATCTTTTCCCTGGTGTCTAGCGAAGAATTTGAAGAAGAAGAGCTAACAGGAACTCTGGCAAGAATGGCTCGTGCTCTTTCCACTCTCTCGAATGAAAAATGCTTCCTCCAATTAACTCTCCGAGCCGCAAGAGAATCTCGAACAACAAAGAGGTCGTCGGAAATCGGGGGAAGAATGTTCCAAACTGCAAAAACAACACGGGAACAATCAGCTCAGTAAGGAAAGTATATACAATAAATAGTTCTGAGCCGAGGCAAAGCTTCGGATCGGCTACCAAGTTGTCCCCAAGCGGTTTTGGTTTTGTGAACGTAGTCCTCGCCAACTGACGCCTCGTTCACCAAGACGTAGAAAAAGCGCTCGGTCCAGAACTGATCCTTGCTTGGAAAACCGCCTATAATCCGACGATTGGACTTGTTGGAAATATAGAATTTATCTCCCTTCAGAGCTTTCCTGATTTCCAGCAAGTTTAGCAGGTGATTCAGTTCAATATCAAGCCCGTATTCAAAGCTTCGAACCAAAATACCAATCATGTGCCGCAGACCCCTCGGCATTATCTGCCCGATTGAGATTCCATGTTTCCAGAGGTATTCAAGGATAACTCCGGGGATCGGGAACCAGAGAAAGCAAAGCTCAAAGAACGCCTCGTATAGAGTGAAGTGATTCTCAGCAGGTTTGTCGGCTCGGTCATTCTTCTCTGGGACGACAAATTCCACCGCCTCGGATATCCCAAAACGATATCTCAACGCCTCGAATGAGTCAGGGGAGGAGAGCGTAGAGCCGGGCGGGTCAGGTTTTTGTCTTTTCACTCGTTTCTCTCGCCCAGATGTAGAGGCACCTCGGGACGCCATGAGACGTTCTAATTCACGCTTCGCCTTGAACAAATCAAAGGGAAACGCTTCCTCCTCGGATTTCACTACGGCATGATTAACTTCTTCGTCGAGGGCGGGATCCTGAGGGCGGCTCGTCAAAACCAACGGCTCGTCATCTGGAGAGCGAGCGCCTGACGAATCGGAGCTATTCGACGCCTCGTCACCTTCAGATTCACGGTTGGAAGGGCTCGGCGAGATCCTGTAACACCTCCCACCTCGGCATCTACACGGCTCGACTCGTAGTTAAAAAGCGAATCCAATGAGTCGTCGGAACGGTTCAACATGATTTACAGCTTATACGAGAATTACAATATTACGCGGCGGACTTCCGTCGGGAAAAGATCTGGAGCGGCGGAGACCTCGGAACCCTAGCCGGAAAATAAATAAACTAGAGAGAGAAAGAAGAGAGAAGGGAGAGCTACCTTTTAGTGAAAACGAGTGGATCTGAAGATTATGAGAAGGAATGAAAGAGCTCACCTATTTATAGGATAACCGAAGCGCGTGAAATCCGCGTGGACCTCGGGATGACGCAAAAGTGTTCAAAAAGGGCGCGTGAGATCCGAGGCGAATGCATAACTCTTCGGCGCGTCCGTTATGTATGCCAACACTCAGGATGTCTTGAAAAGAACTAACAGTCACTCTGTCCAGGTAAACCGAGCCCACGACACAGCTATGGTTATTCGAGAATGTCTCAAACTGCGTAAACCAAGCCGTGCTTTGTCGATACGGCTCGACGATTTCATAAGAACATCTCGTCGTGATCATTGACACGAAACGGCTCGGTAACTTTCTTTGAAAACGCCTCGTCGTTAACAAAACGGCTCGGCATTATCCAGATCTTGAAACGCCTCGTCGTTAACAAAACGGCTCGGCATTTTCTTTATCTTGAAACGTCTCATCATTAACAAAACGACTCGGCATTATCTATATCTTGAAACGCCTCGTCGATAAACATAGCTCGACATTTTCCCTCAAACAGCCACGCCAAAAAACAGCTCGCTATTATGCCTCGTCGAAGAACGGCTCGGCACTTTTATTCCCAAAACGCCTCACCTGGGATCGTTTCGCAACGGCCTAATTCGATGGTTTATCCCATGTCCAGGAGCAAGGAACCTCATCACTCTCGTCTCCGAAACTGACGAGCTGGGGGGCTAACTGTTGGGGTCGGTTTCACCCCAAGTGGATAAAACCATCTCAAAATGACTAAGTATGGAAGAAAACAAATTTGGTCGAGCTGCCCACCAAATATGGGCCGAGCTGTCCCACAAAACAAGTGGGCCGAGCCGCGCTCACCAAGACGAGTGGACCGAGCCGCGCACGAGAGGAATGGGCCGAGCTGTGAACGGGCCGAGCCGTAAGGAATAAGTAAATGGGACGAGCTGTGCAAGATAGCGAAGGGACCGAGCTGTGCAAGATAGCGAAGGGACCGAGCTGTGCGAGAAAGCAAATGGGCCGAGCTGCATAAGAAGGGGAATGAGCCGAGCCGATTTTGGGCCGACCCAAGGCTTTGAAAGACAAAAGCCCATAAGAAAGCCCTAAGCGAAGTATTATGATGGTGGCCGCACGAAGCGATACGGAAATGTTCCAAAAATCTCTCCCGAGATTCCCGGTTAGGTGGTTCAAGAAGTTAGTATAAATAGGATATCTCTACGATTCATTATGTAACTTTGGCAACCCTAAGCAATAAAGACTAAACACTTTCACAACAATAAAAACCTTCTTTCTATCTTACTGTTCTTGCGATAAATCCTAGAAATTTCCGATCCCTTAAGTTTTCCTTAACGAATTTTTTGTTGTGCGAGTTTTACGTACACACATTTGTACCCATTTTCACCATTGATTTCAAATGCTTTTTCAAAGTTTTTCATTAGTTTTATGAACTTTTATTATAGGTTTTCTATGTTTGTAGTTAATTTCAAGGTTCTTTTCAGGAAACTTAAGAAAAAACATGGCAAAGTGGAAGAAATCCATATTTTCAGCTCAGAGTAAGACCGTCAGAATCTCAGCCTCAACGTAAGACCTTCTCACCATCTGATCCAGCTCAAAATTGGAGACATTCAAGACGAGACAATAAGCTTTCCATAGCACTTTACATCAGGATAATCCAACGGTGCAATCAAAAGTTATGTAAAGAGCAAGTTGACCAATTTCACCAGTACCGGAAGACTCACCCGTGACAAAAGTACATTCCCTGCCTCATCAGATTCTGCACCAGAACAAAGAGAGTGATCGATATAGGCTCCAACTAAATCGATTAGAAGCTATGCTGAACCAGTATATTGACTTCCAAGTTGTTACTGAAGCTACCTTGTACAAGAGAATTGATGATCTCACCAATCACGTTAAATCATTGGAGGAACAAAATTTCAAAGATATTTCCACCCTGAAGGAGAAGATCGAAGCCCTTGATGAAGAACAGCCAAAACAGAATTATGTTATCCTTCAAGGTTCAATCGATGTCAAGGCTGCTAAACTATCAAAGAAGCCAGTGAGTTTGCTTCATGGTACAGAGGAAGAACAGATGGTGAACTTCAAAAGATTGAATTTTGCATGAGTAAGCTTGAGCACAAGACCAAGGAGACCAGCTCTGACATAAAGTATCTCTCTAACTGCCAAGGAGACACAAACCTTATGGTGAAGAAGATCTTTGAGAATCATAAGAAGGATTCTCTTGTTCATAATCAACAAGAAGAAGAAGAATCACCAATTCTGATGCAGGAGATCCTACAATGGATACCCAAAATAGTTCTGAAGACATCCTGGAAGAGCAAGAAAGAGAAGCAGTTGGGCGACCTTTGGAACTCCCCAACGTGGCCGCAAAAGTTTCAACCATGGCGGAAGAACACTTGGCCGCAGCCGCAACACCTTCACCCGCGGTGAACTACTCTTCTTTCCAAAGTTCAAAACACCAAGGCTCTGAAGATCCAGAAGAGCATAACCCTCACATTCCATGCATGATGATCGCAGAAAGTGAACCAGTTGTCATAAATGAGGAGGATGAATCACTTAAGAGGATTGAAACGCCTTACATAGATTCAATCATCTGTTTCGATGCAGCAGAGTTTTACTGTGACCCTTACTCCGCATTTGAAGCACCAGACCATCCACAAGAAAGACTAATTCGAATCCTGCATAAAGTTCAAGACAAAGGTCAATTTTTGATCTCTTGTGACATTAGAGGTGAAAGATTTCTCAATGTTCTTTGTGATTCTGGAGCTTGTATTAACATGATGTCCAAGGCTACTGTTTTGGGACTTGGCATAAAGAACATTTCAAGTACCAGGAGAAAGTTTAGCTTAGCAGATGATTCAAGTGCAACTCCAAGAGGGATAGCCAGAGACATATCTCTAAGGATTGGAGATTGCCTAGCCCCTGTTGATATTTACATAGTCAATACCAAAGATAACTCATATCCAGTTAATTATAGGATAAATACAACTCTGAATAATAATTAATTATAGCTTTCGTAGGGAGCCAATTCGTGTACGTATGTGCGTTGTGATAATCTTTTTCATTAGACCACCAAACTTTGTTTACTTTTTTATTAAGATACCCGAGCGGTGAGAATATGTCTGGTATACCCTCAACTACATATGTCTGGCCTACTCCGCCATCATCATATCGTCGGAAGCTCTTTTACGTGTTTGTACTTTTGGGGCAAAATAGTATGAAAGGAAGTGTGAAGTCTCTTCGGTCAAACTTTTCGCCACAATTGAGACTTCAACTTTAGCTAGGTTTTTGTCTTTATCCTTAAGATGTTTCATGAAACGCTCGAATGGATACATCCACTATACTGAACCAGCCATCTAGTTCTGCTTCGTAAGGGAGATGAATGGGAAAGTGTTCTATAACATCAAAAAATGCCGATAAAAATATCTTTTCTAAGTTGCAACAACAGTATTGGAATATTAGTTGCCAGTTGTGCAATTACTTCATCTGATAATGTCCATATACTAAGATCCCGAAAAAAACACCAATGCCTGCATGCATAGATAATAGGGTTTAAATAGTCGAATTAAAACTTATATATATATATATGTTATAAAGAAGTGTACTTATTTAATTTACCTCCAACTGCTTCATGAAAAATTTATGGCAGGAGTTCACTAAATACAAAAGGAAGTAATTGTTGTATAAACATGTGGCAGTCATGACTTTTCATCCTAAGAAAACTTTACCGTTTTCTCAACAGATTTAGAAAGATTAGAAACATACCCATCAGAAAATATATCCATCAGGAAATATACTCATCAGGAAACTTAACGTCAGATAAAACTCATTTGAACTATGCTGACTTCTGTTCTGCACCTAATCAAATATAGGAACCGGTGCTTTTCCGTTTCTCAGTATATGAAACTCATTTATTTAAGAAGAACAAAAGTATTTGTATTGAAGCGCAAATCGATCAGGAGGGAGGGGGACAGGAAACAGTAACTCTTGGGGGAAACTTGTACACTCAAGAAATATGCCCGATGGTTATTGGGTTCATCATAATTGGCACAAAAAAAACATTTTTTGGCAACTTTCGTATTGGAAAGATCATTTGCTCAGACACAATCTTGATGTTATGCACATTGAGGACAACTTGTTTGATAACATCATGAACACAGTTTTGAACGTGCAGAGAAGAACAAAAGACAGCGATAAGTCAAGATTAGACTTGCCTGAATTATGCAACAAAAATCTTTTGTTCATTCGATATGGATGATTTTTTTGGTAAAAACTTGCAGTGACAATCAAACCAGCATGTTTTTCTACCCTGTTTATGCTGAAACACATTAGTTTGATCAAGAATATAAGGACAAGATAATTTCATGTATGTAGTCAATCCTGATAGCATACCGTATGCGAAGAAATCGCTTATTGTCCACATAAGCACCACCCGCGTTTGATAACACCTGATTTTGACCACTTTTATGGATCACTTTCAGTATCTTATGCAGGTGTTTTTACTCAGTTTTAAAGGTTTTATAAGTGTTTTCCGTGTTTTGGAGTTTTAAAAGGCTTTTCAGGAAACTTGGGACTTTGGAGTGCATTTTGGAGCAAAAGTACATTTTTGGATAAATTCAGACCGTCAGAAGTTTGTCAACCTATGAAGACCTTCTCACCGTCTGATCATCCCCAAATTTAGAGACATTATAGAGAAGACAACCAGCTTTCCAACACACTTGGAATCAAAGCAATCCAACGGTTAGATCTCCAGATATCATCAATGCACTGAAGGCCGATCAACACAAGCCTAGTCAAGCACAAGTGCTTTCACCCGCGGCCAGCCTTCTCCCCACCGTGGCTCAAGAGGTTTCAACCCCGGTGGACCTATGTCCGAAACTCAGAAGCCTAACTAAAGCCCAAGACAGTTCCTGCACCCATTTTACAAGCCCTAGACGCCCAAAACTTGGAGAAACATTATAAATACTCATTTTTATGTCTTTTGTAAGGAGAGCCTCTTTCTTCTCTTTGAGAGAGAACTCATTTGTAGTTTTAGGTTTTATTTTTATGCATTTGTAGAAGCTCTCCATCACCACTCTGTCTTCAATAAGAGAAGTTTTTCTGCAACTTTGTATATTTTAATTTTCTTCTTCTTAGTTCTAAACCGATGATGATGTCTACCTCAGCTATGTATGAGTACTCACCTAGTTGGACGAAAGGGTAATCCAAAGGGGCCCCATATTCGAATGACATCTAGGTTTTTAGGAAAAGAATTTCGATTTTTAACATGATTCTCCCATTCATCTAAATCTCAAAGCAGTAATTTTGGATTGATCAAGCAAAATCCGATCCTAGGTTTAATCCGAGCCACGAGAGTGTTGTATCTGGTTTGTCTGAACTGGATCTTATGGACGTCACCGTCGTAGGAGACGAAAGCTACCTACGGAGGATACGTAAGCAGAGATGGATTCCGATCTACAAAGCATGATCTTGTTCTAGCATGAGAGCGAGAGTTAATTGCCATGAACAAGTGATTAGATGATTAGGGTGACGAGAGTTGGCTAATCTCACATGTGTCTACCTAGTTTTAGAGTCATAGAAAATACTTACCTAAATTCTTTGTGTTTTAGAACATGAACCCTAAAGATGAATCTTGAACCCAGCGCCATTTTTTCATATAGTTTTCAAC